CTTGTGTCTGACACATTCATATGCAAATGACTAATCTGTGAAACAAATAGGGGCGGAGACAAACCACTCAAATGTTTGGAAACACTAATTGTGTGTAAGTAAGCTACTGATAACACATCCTAACATTGCTTTGTCTTGAGTTTATCTTTGAAACTTATAGGCACACGGATTAAACCTGTGTTGTTGATTTTGGAAAACACTACTGAGGCTGCCTTGCTTCCCTTCAGAAAATCTACATTTTAACCAACTTACATGACATTGTATGTTATGTAGACTTTATCACATGAAAGTTTATAGTGCATTTCATCAATTAATAAATAAATGTGAAAATCGTAATTTTCAACACAAATAATAGTCTTGCTACCTTAAACCAGTTGTAACTCCTTCTGTCTGTTACCACCTACATGTATGTAAAAGAAGTCTTACTTTCCTTTCAATCTCGTTTAATCACTATCATGTTCAACTGACGGAGCTTTTTCTAATTATCATCATCCTGTTCAATTGAATTTCACTGAGTTCAAGTTATTATTTTCACTAAATAGTAACATTTTACACATTACGTATTTTGCTTGTTTTTAAACCAAATAAACATAATTTTCCATTCCAGTAGGGTTTATTTTGTGAAAGAACACAAAAGCTAAATTTTGCTTTAAATCTATATTGGATTAAATACAATGACTTGCTCTATCAATGTTTTTTTAGCAATATTATGACATAGAAACTGTCAAGTTTTTAGTGACTGTGTGGGATATAATTAAATGTTGGAGAGTATTCAGCATGATAATGTGCTACCTACAAGTACAGACAATCTGATCAAAGCATGTCAGAGAAATTGTGAAGTCAACATAGTCATCTGTCAGCCATTTTTATTCAAATCACAAAGCAAATTGACAAGGATCAAAGCCATAATACATCAGTAACATCATCAAAGACATGCCGAGAAATCAGTCTAGGCATGTCAGACAAATGACGTCAGATGGAAAGAAACCAACACTTAAATCCCCATTCTGGACTTTATCAGACTTGGATTAAATATCATTAAGTTAATATTAGCAAGTACGGTATATGGTGAAGACACTACTCATTAATGAGTAATGAAGGCAGAGATACACACACCTATTGTATACTAACATGCTTACATGGACAGCTACACAGTAGAGCAGTTTAATGACGAAAGCAAATAATTAGGTTATGACCCTATTTCAGAATGTACTTAGATCCACGCCCCAATAAATGTTATTAACCAGTTACATAACAGGGAAGCTGTCAATCAATAAGACAGCACCATGGAATCCTGGGATAGCATTGTCTACATTCATTGAGTTTCAAGCTGTATATAGGAGAAATAATTGGGACGACATTCAAGAGGTCGTTCACATCGGATTTTTCTTTCACAAATACATTTACTTGTATAGTTAAAGATAAACAACTAGCAGCAATGCATCTCAGC